TTCCTCCAGAAAGAAACGTCTAGGCTTCAGTAGTATTTCAGCTCCAGGCCCAGAAAAGCAGCAGAACCAGACAAGTGGCACAATGACTGCCTCCGGACCAGGTGTATTAACTAATGACACCCTGGCCTGGTGAAGACCAATCAGTGGAGACCATGACCCTGAGAGTGCACACTTGGAAAGCTGATGAATATTCTATTGAGACCCTCCCCTGAAATGTCCCTTAAGACTTCCACCTGCAAGGGAGAGATAAATAAGCTCAAGATGAAGGACCCTGGGGGCGGGCCAGCCCCTTCCCCTCCCCCTTCTTCCCTCTAAGGGACCCCCACGAGACTTGCAACCAGGGGAGCAATGGGCAGAGGCAGCTCATCCCAGGCGAATCCCCTGACCCTGTCTCCAAGGCACCCTTTTCTCTGACTTTTCAGTGAGCCAAAGCAGCCCCGCCTGGGCTCTCCTGTTACTTTTCTCCGGGGCGGGGAACATCAGACCCCTGGGCCCTCGGGCCACATAAGGCTCTCGAAATCATTCGGTCTGGCCCTGCCAACGCATTGGGGGTGAGTTAATTAACTGTCTGACCAAATACAGCAGGCTAATTTTTAGGTTGATAATTTTGAATGGCCAATGAATAATGTTATAAATATCCAAATGGCCCTTGGCAGGAAAAACGGTTCCCCACCCGTTATGCCCTTCCTTGTTTCACTGTCCTAAGTACATTTTTGCTGCAGCCAATAAGTTCTGGCTTGCTTTGCTGCACTTTGACTCTTGACTGAAAGTCTTTCCTTCAAGAAGACAAGAACTGAGGTCTCCTCGTCGCCCCAGGAACACCCTGACATGTACACATTCAAAATACAAAAGTCTCCTTCCGATATCCAGGAGATGCACAGCTCCCTGTTACCACCTTCCACAGTGGCTTCTATTCTTTTACACTTCCGTTCCTTCAATAAATATGATGACAGCCCATTCTGTTCATGTGCTAGAGTGGACCTTGGTCATGTTGAAGGAGACAGCCAAAGGCCCTGCCCTCCCAGAGCGCATATCCTAAAAGAGAAGGCAGACACTAATTATTTCACTGCTTAATAAATCTGTGGTAGCACCACAGAGAACACAGTGTTAAGAGTATCTAACACAGACTCCATCCATGCTTTCTTCTGTGCTGAAAATGGATTGTCTTGCAGTCCCTAATTCCAGAAACCTAATGACCACACAGCGTGTGCACACCTTTCAGCAGTTATTCTGAATAACTGCCAGGTTTCCAGCGGTAGCCCTCAGATGCACCTCCAGAAAAGATACATTAAACTAGTTTAAAAGTAATTTTTTCCACCAGCTGCTTTTATAGTATCAATCTTTCTCTACATCTCTTTGCTCTAACATACAGGGTCACATCAGGGAATACAATCTCCTTTGAGTATTTTAAGTCTTGACCCATTTATGGGTAAAGCTGTTTTCACTCAGCAAGCACTCATAAATGACTTACTATCAAAGACCACACAGTGGGAATGTGTGATTTTCAGGAAGAAAAGGTCTCTAGGTGTGATTCCCATTCCAGTAATGATCACACAGATTTCTCCTTTGGACACCCTTGGATTCATACTTTTTAAAATGAACACAGTACTACCCTAGCCTGTGTGGCTCAGTGGATAGAGCATCAGCCTGTAGACTGAAGGGCCCCAGGTGCGATTCCGGTCAAGGGCATATGCCCAGGTTGCCAGCTCAATACCCAGTGGGGGACCTGAAGGAGGCAGCCAATCAATAATTCTCTCTCATCACTAATGTTTCTCTCTCTCTTCCTTTCCCTTCCTCCCTAAAATCAATAAAAATATACTTAAAAATAAAATAAAATGAACACAGTACTGAGTAAAGAACCCTCCACTAGAAGAAATAAATGTATGTCCTCCCCCTTTTTATAAAAGAAGCCTCATTATAACTAAAATAACATTAGCAAACTACATTTTAGTAAACACTGGATGCTTGCTTAATTGACCTTTGTTTTCTAGGATGATAGGAAATCTGCTGTCAGACACAGGAAGTGAGTCAGATAAGGGAAGGGGGGAAATAGGAACAGAGGAGCACACTAAAACTTTCTGTAAAGGAGGACCCCTATTTAGTGGAAAATATCAATCTAGAGAAGACTGCTTATAGGAAAAGACAGAGTCCCTATTTCAGGCATTGCTGCAAATGGAACAGCTCTTCTACGGGCACTTACCCAGAAAGATAGATCCTAGTAAAGAAGAAAAAGTTTTATATGTCAATATTTACCATGAAAAACAGGTAACAGAAAGGGAGTACAGCTTAAAGGAAACAGGAGGTTATCTGGGTTAATAACACCCATTAATGACAACTGGAAAGCCCTGGCTTGGGTTACCAAGGCTCTGGAACTTCTTTTTACTTAAAATGTTAAGACAAACCAGCAGCACCGCAGTTCACAATGGTATGGCACAACACTGCTCGAAGGCTGAGGAATATACCATGTGACCTTCTGAGATCCCTTACAGTTTTCCCAATTCCAGTTAGACACAATCCACTATGACTTCTTCAGTTATTCATTCATTCCACAAAGGTTTACTGGGTGCCTAGTAAGCAGTGGCACAGTGCCCAGGTCACGGTGTTCCATAAGACAAGTCTAACTACTTGGGCATCATATTCTAATGCGGAGATACACTAAAGAGCCAATTCCATAAAGAAGCAGAGGGTGCTGAGCACAGTTAAGGGGAAAGCAATAATTAGGGAGCGCTTCTCTGAAGAATTAACATTTAAGATATGAAGATGAACATAAATAGGGAAGGAAGCCACATTCCTGGCAGACATAACAACACGAAAGATCTGGGGAAAAGGTGTTGGGGCGGGGGGTGGGGACAGGGAGTCCCTACTAAGGCTGGGAGGGGCAATGAGTGGCATGATGTAAAGCTGGACATAGACTATTCGGAACCATGGAGATCATGTTATGGATTTTTGGACTTCATTCCAGAGCAATGGAAAGACAGTGGAGGGTTTTAAGCAAAGAAATGCTGTGACTAGATGCCTTTTTTTTTTTAAGATCATGATGAAACATAGAAAAAGGATTGGAAGGATAAAAGTGAATATAGATGGGCAACAAAATAAAGTAGTATTGGATTATAACCCAAAGTATAAAATAAATACCCATGAACTCACACTAATATAAATAAATGATTGAATAAATAAATATGCATCGGAAGACAAATCCTCCATGCACAATTCCAAATAAATTTTTCTCTGCCCTCAGGAGTAGAACATAACTCCATTCCTGGAGAGTGTGGGCTGTGCACAGTAACTCCCTTCCAAAGACAGTAACTTTAGGAGGAGAAACCTAACAAACACTGCCTAAGCCAGGTGATCAACGTCAGTATCAATGGAGATAAGTCATGTTGATAGCATATATTTTTTAAATTTATTTATTTTAAAGAAAGGGAAGGAAGGAGAGAGTGAGGGGTGGAGGGAGGGAGAGAGAGAGAGAGAGAGAAACATCGATTTGTTGTTTCACTTATTTATGCATTCACTGGTTGGCTCTTATAGTTTGTGCCCTGACCAGGGATTGAACCCACAACCTTGACATATCTGGACAACACTCTAAATGAACTATCCAGCCAGGGCCAACAGCATATCCTCTTCATACGATACAATGAACCATCCTCCCAAAAGCCCATAAACCCTCATCTAATCATGAGAAAAACATCAGGCAAGTCCCAACTGAGGGACATTCTACAAAACACCTGACCAGAGCTTCTCAAAACTATCAAGGTTATGAAAAACAAAAGTCTGAGAAATTGTGTATAGCCAAGAGGAGCCTAAGGAGACACGGTGCCTAAATGTAATGTGGTGTCCTGGATGAGATCCGGAACAAAAAAAGGGCATTAGGTTAAAAAACGAAGGAAATCTGAATAAAGTGTGGACTTCAGTTAATAATGTATAAATATTGGTTTACTAATTGTGACAAATGGTACCATACCAACGTAAAATGTTAGTAATAAGGAAAACTGGGTGTAGAATATATGGGAACTCTGTACTATCTTCACAATTTTTCTGAAAAATGTATAGTAAAATATTCTAAAATAAAAACATTACTGAAAAATAAATAAATAAGCAAACAAACACATTACTTAAAGTGTTTGTGGGGAGTGTGGTAATGGAACTAGTCTTCCAGTTTAGGCTAAAAAATGACAGAGCATCTGGTGATTCACTGGCTGGTGGGTGGGGTAGAGGAACCAGGATGAAAGGTTACCACCAGATTTCACGCCTGGACACCGAGACGGGGAGAGGAGTTTCATTCCCCGGTAAAGGAGCAATGACCATGAACCAGATGTGGAGGGAAATCGAAGCATTTACTCGAGGCCCAGTATGTGCCAGGAGCTTTTCAAATTCTTATAATCATTTGGCACGGTAGACACGTTATTTGGCCCAGCGCCAAATACACGAATTACCGTGGATTTGGGCATCAGGTGTGGTTTCGGGTTCGCATGTACTCCAAAGCCCCGCGCTCTTTCCCCACAGTTCCTTCCTGTGTGCATTTACTCCAGCCGCAGCCCAGGCGCCACCAGCCTCTGCAGTACGGCCTCAGCAGGCACTCCCTCCCCGGGCCTATCTGCCAAATGACCATCTCCATCTCGGAAGTTGTATCCAAGAAAAGGCGGGTTAGGGACGTCATTAAGAAGAAGACAATTAAGACCCCCCACAGACGGCATCACTTCTCAGGGGGCTAAAAGATAATGATGATGGAGTAAAGAAGCGAAGGGAATTCTCTGGTTCTCCTCTCGCCGAGCGGTCTCCGAAGGCAAGGGCGATCCCGGGAGGGTGCCGAGTCGGGGCGGCGAGCCGAGGATGGTCCCGCACACCCCGACCCCAAGGCCCCAGGACTCCACGGGACCCCCGGAGAAACGCCCGCCAGCCCGCCCTGGGCCACGCGGCACAAGGTGACACGGTCCGTGCCAATCCTCCGCCGCCTGGGAGAGGCCGGGACCAGAACAGAGTGCCCGCGGGGCCCGCGCTACCTTGTACTTATCAAAGCCAGCCAGCTGCTCCGAGCTCACGTATTCGTAACCTGCCATGGCGACCCGAACACTGAACGGCCACTCGCGCTGCGGCAGCGACTCTCCAGCACGCAGTGCGAAAGCACCAGCCCCGGCTAGGCAGGGATGGCCAGAGCCGGGCTGGTAATATTGGTAAAAAGAGCCGAGCTCCGCCCACCACGCATGCGTATCCGCCTCGGCCACTCTGCCACCTCCCGGCACGCAAGCGCAGTCCTCACTTCTCCCCGCCCACCGAGGGAAGGTTGCTAGCCCGCTCACGCGGTCCGCCCCTCACACCGTGGAGGTCCAATCAGCGTGAAGAGAGTAACACTAAGTCCCGCCTACCAGATCTCCTCATCGCTTCATTCGCTAGCGTCAAAATTGGTGAGCTGCGTGGAGAGAGGGAGGTGAAAGGTCACCTCCCAAGGGGCTTTGCTCCTCGCCCCCCGGTTCTGGGCGGCGATCGCGGTGGCCCGGCCTGCGTGAAGGTTTGGGCTGCCCTTTTAATCTTGCGGAT